CGGTGTGACAAGGTAACAGAATCAGATATTGACGGTGTGACGTGGTAACAGCATCAGATATTGACGGTGTGACAATGTAACAGCATCAGATATTGACGGTGTGACAATGTAACAGCATCAGATATTGACGGTGTGACAATGTAACAGCATCAGATATTGACGGTGTGACAAGGTAACAGAATCAGATATTGACGGTGTGACAAGGTAACAGAATCAGATATTGACGGTGTGACAATGTAACAGCATCAGATATTGACGGTGTGACGTGGTAACAGCATCAGATACTGATGGTGTGACATGGTAACAACATCAGATACAGACGGTCTGACATGTAACAGCATCAGATATTGACGGTGTGACAAGGTAACAGCATCAGATACTGACGGAGCGTTTTTTATCTGTTGGGTTTATCTTGCCGAGAAACTTACCCATTATGTGATGAAATATAGTTTCTGTCTAGTTTATAGGTTAATGTCTAAAGTGGTTACAGGCAGAAAAGGTTGGTTGCATTTGCTAAGATATGATGCAGTGAAACGTTAAGGTGAAGGCCCTTGATCAATGTAGGTTATTGATCATCATTGAATCTAGTAGTGTCCATTCAATTACATCAGACAACAGGCGTGTCCACGGACTTTGTGCTGCACGTTCACTTCATGTAAACGTCTATATTCAATAGTCTCAAGTATGAGAAACAAATCTTAATAATATCAAAGCTAATGGTATGTCACAACAGGCATGAGCGGCACCACCTGTCTTCACCGCCGACATGTACATCCTGGTCTATTACAACCTAATCGTTATGAGCAACGTCATTTCAACTACTGACCAAACGCATTTACTGTTCTCTGTCACTGTTTGTTGTTTTTGTCTGTCTCTCACACACAATAATTATTTATGATACAAGTCACTGTAAGTAGGTAGCTTATGTAAGTAAATCGCCTGAGTATGTGGGTATGGGTTTACGCCGCTTTAAGCAATATTTCAGCTATATCTCGGCGGGGGACACCACAAATGCGCTTCACACATTGTACCCATGTGGGGAATCGAACTCGAGTCCTCGGCGTGACGAGCGAACGTTAAAAAATAACCACTAGGCTACCCTACCGCCCCTTCAATCGCCTGAACATTACGTTCTTGACATTCGTCTGGTACATCGAACTGACGAAACAGTCATATTCATCATCATTCAAATTACCTCGTTTTGCAATCAAACGACAATAAGCTGGAGTGGAACGTATTGTTTAGAACATTAGGTGAAAATGGTATCACCCGATTTGGGGCAAACATACGGATTTTGATAATTCCTTTTAATGAAAAGGCTCGGGAAGGATATGGACTTTAGTTGTTTTTCTTTCTGACTGTACGTCACCAACACTTAAATGATATGGTAAATAATGACCTAACACGTTGTCTATTGCATCTGTATTCGTGGAGGGACTTTCTCACACACCTGTGTAAATTTCTCTGTTGGTTCTTCAGTTGGATGTGCACCACGTTCTTTCTTCACAGCTTCTGTGTTGTCGCAGTGTTCATAACAAAACTATGGACTTGTATCACTTTGCATGTATTCACCATTCAGTACCAAACTCCTATGGAGATTCTTATCGGTGAATAAATTGTTTTTGAGCGAGAGGTTGTGGTTTACATTTATGGAGAATGCATGACTTCTTCCTGATGTAGCACTCAGAACCAGAAGTTTACACCGTCACGTGTAATGAAAATTAATGTGGAATTGTAGTGTTATTAATTGGGTTTACTGACACATTTACAATTATTTGATCTTAACACACTGTGTGTCACGCTGGTGTGATACAATACTCAACAAATACATAGTTAAGGACCACCCCAATATATAATACACAACACACACACACACACACACACACATACATGATACATATATATATATATATTACACATTGCAACATTCCTTCTTGCATATGTGAAAAGGCCGGTGAGGAAGCCTAGTGGTTAATGCGTTCGCTCGTCATGCCGAAGACCCGAGTTCAATTCTACACAGGTATGAAGCCCATTTCTGGTATGCCCCGTCGTGATATTGTTGGGATTTTGCTAAAATCGGCGTAAAACCTTACACTATCACTCACTTACAGATGTAAAACTGTCACAGGCTCCCCGGTGATTTAAGCATAAACTATCTGGATTTGTCTTCTTCCATGAACCAAAACAAGGTCATTTGATGATGAGATGCTATAGGGTATATTGTGTTGTACTTGAGATCTGGCTATCTCTCTCTCTGGATATGCGAACAACAGTTTCCTAACAAAAGAGTTATTGTCACACCAACTACGCCATAAACCGGCGCAACAAATAACTCAATAAGGGGAAACTGGACCGAATACTAAATCCATTTTCACCGTCACATATTTCAAACATCATGAAAAGGTAATACATTTCTTATTTGTTGTGATGTGTATATACTCATTTTTTCTGAAGGACGTGCCAAAGATCCAATAAAAGTACGCTGGCCACAATGGGACGGAAATGAATTGAGCAAGGCGCCTTTAATTCGATCGATACTCTTTTATGTTGATTGGCAATTCTTTGTGTCAAAGCGTTATCGTTTATCGAGTATACACTTAACAGCTGTACGTCGATTTCTCATGGGACTTGTGGTGCTTCATCATTTGTCTCCATGCTATATATACTGTGTATATTTGTTTTTTAACGCCCACTCAGAACAATCCGTCTATATGAATGTCTGTGCATACTCAAGTCTGGACAACCTAATCCAATATACGACATTGGGAGCAGGATCCGCACTGTCGGGGAGCGAACAATAAGTCACCGAGCCTCAGCACTTGATCCTTTGGCTGCCTAGTGTGACCAGCATCAGTTGCTGGGGAACTACTCTAACACGGAAAGCACATGGATCAGTGATACTGGTTGTTTCCAATTGTAGATAGAACAACGTAATTGTCGGTCATATTTGTCTTTCAATCAGCATGAAAACAATTGTTTTCGTCACAAATTGTAGGAACAACCTTGCAAACACACTGAGGTCAATAGGAAGGACACAGCAAACACGAAGGTGGCAGCTTGATCAAAGGGATCAAAAGTCAACCGACCGGGATCAAATACAAACAATGATGAGGCTGTTCTGATTGCAGGTAGCACTTGTCTTTGATCTTCAGTAACGAAGCAGTCATCATAGCAGTCATCACCCACGTGAACTAAATGTAGTCATTCTAGTGTATTGCTTTATGTTACGAAAAACAGGTACAATTAAATGGCACCCCTGGATCTGAATATTTCATATTACATAATAAAAAGCCTTTTTATCTGGATTCAGTGATACGTATTACGCATTTTCATTATATATTTTTTACAGATAAAGATAAAATGAAGCAGAAAGAGTTTGGTTGGTCCTGGCACAGCCTGGATGGTTAAACACATCATCAGCTCAGATACCCTTGCCTCCTCTCCACGCAGTCCAGACAGCGAGTACGACTTCTACCAGAAACCTCTATCCAGTTGAAACCACCAATATCCTTCCTGAGAATATGGAGACAGAAATTGCAGCCAAATCCCCAAATTGCAGTCTTCTTCATTACCCAGAGTGTCAGAAGGGCTGTCCTGCCGGTGGAGAACCCGGGTACACTCCTGTTCTGCGTCAAGCGATGAAGAGGTACCAATCCATGGACACTGAGAACAATGGGGAGTCCCACAACTTGCTACTTGGGATGCAAGAGTCAAGTTTCATAAGCGAGGTTCGCGTATTTTGCATGCTTTTACTGAATCTTGTCAATCCCTTTACTGTCAAAAGAAAATTCAGTGATAAAATTATTTCTGTCGGTTTTATAAAAAGCAGGGTTTATTCACCTGACGAAGACCCGGGTTCAGTTCCTCGCCGTGATATTGCTGCAATATTGCTAAAAGCGGCGTAAAACCATACTCACTCACTTACTCATCTGTATCCAATAATACGTGTTATGTGTAATCTTTCATCTGTATTCGGTGATATGCGTTGTGTATTATTGTTCATTTGGCGGGGCGGTGGGGTAGCCTAGTGGTTAAAGCGATGGCTCGTCACGCCGAAGACCCGGGTTCGAATCCCCACATGGGTACAATGTGTGAAGCCCATTTCTGGTGTCCCCCGCCGTGATATTGCTGGAATATTGCTAAAAGCGGCGTAAAAACCAAACTCAGTCAGTCAGTTCATTTGGCCTTAGTGATACGTATAATTGTTCATAACTGTTTATGGTAATACTGAACCCAGAACACATCAGTATAACAGTAGCAGAACCAGTGATTGATATGATAAGCAAATTCGAAATTGATGGTTCGGTTTTCGCGTTGATACTGCATCGTAAGGCTGGAGTATTTGCGGGCAGTCAGCTCTGCAAAATATATTAATTTCGTAGATCACACTTCCAGTTGACGATATGGACTGTTTAATAAACGGTAATAAAAGTAGAAACATGTGGATACAACATGAAGTCGGTAATGACACGGTCACGTGTCACTATATCACCTGTCACCTTACCATACCAGTCACGTACAACACACTGCCTTTGTAAGTTTTATAACATCTATTTCACCTCCGAGAAGGAGTATCCTCAAATTCAAACACCATGGAATTATATCAGTTTCATATATAGGGACGTGATATTGCAGCATCGTTTTTCCACAAATAGACTTAATATAATCAATTATTAATGCGATGAAGTAATATCATCAGTTACCAGCACTATTAAGGGATATCATCAATTTCCGGTACCATAAAGGGATATCATCAATTTACAGCTGATGATAAATAATGTCAACTTACACAAACATGCCATCCACAGCCTCGCTACCAAAGCCGTAGGCAGCTCAATACGGCATGTACACGGTGACAGATGACAATGGATTGGTCTGCGAGGGCGATGACGCGTACGTCGATATGCACCCAACACAACGTTCCATCCCGCGTGCCTGCCATGTGACTGGCCCATCCTTGTAGAACAGACAGTGCCCGGATGTAGCCAGGAACTCGATCATGACACAATAACAGTTCTCTGAACTTCCAAGTCGACCTGTAAAGCGAAGCTGTGATGCACATGGAATAGTGGTTTCTGTATCGCTTGTCTGTGTTTTATTGAAGATGGTTTCCCCGGTATGAAACTTCAGTTTACATACTATCTGTGAAAGTGTCAAACTGGTTTGATTGTATTAAAAAAAGGAACATTTGGAAACCGTTATGTGAGGGGAAACAAAACAATTTCGCCATGAAAAGTATGTGGAATCGTGACAACGAATTTCCAAGGTACTATAGAAGACTGGAATACAAGTCTATATTGCTGTGAATTCTACAACGTCGTCCTTACAGCAGGAATTATCAGCATATCAGGCGAACAGATTTGGAATTTCAAAGAAAAACGCAATCATTAATTTTCCTCTTGAACATCTTTACAGTAAGTAGATGTGAACCGTCATATATAGTACATGGATATGTGTATTTCTATTTTGTTTATTCACATTACCATTATCATTACAGCTGTGAATGGGTACCTCGTAAAGATGGGAAAACCGCGATAACTTGGTGCGCCTAGTGACTCCAAGGGTTGTATGATCCCCAGGGAGTTGAGATTGATAATACTATGTGCCGTTGAGATTGACATCCAGTGATCGAGGGGAAAATCCCAGCGCCCTGAGCATATACTAGTTGCGTGGATATGTGCGCTATATAAATATCCTATCCTATATATATTTAAATGAATGAATAGTCTTTTTAGCAGATGCTAGGAAAAATGAATCTTAGGACGATTCTTAGCACTGAAAACCCTATTGAATGTGAAGTTGATAATCACATATCACATTAATCACCTCTGGTTAAAACTAATGATTCAACGGCATCTTCAACTGTGAAGGTAATATTGATAGAAAGGTTCCTTTCCAATCACTGTAGCTAACATGCCTCTAGGCAGAAAACACGATAGAGATCGAGTAAGAACATATCATAAAGGAGAAACAACAAAATTGTTTGACACTTGGTGTGTCCACCTGTGACGCCGCCACTGTTGCGTCACAATGATCCGAGTGACGTCATACCAGTAACGCAAGGTGCAGTGCGAAATCTTGACATACTTGAAAACGTTTCTCCAGGCTTAAGTAAAATATGTTACACTCTTTAATGTCTTCCATGCATAGTTATGTACGCATTACGTACACTGATGCAGATATCTATTATCTATGTTTCTTCAATTCAAACAACCCCGTCAAACACTAGAATCAAGCCGTTTTACACAGTATCAAAGAGTCGGCGTTTAGTGTCTTCATGGTGGAAGTGGGATACATATAAATACATATACAAAACAGCCATTAGAACGCCAATATATTCGTAATATAGAATCTACTTCATTTTCACTGAATTTTGCAGAAAAACTGTCAACTGTGTTGACTTTAAGCGCGGCAACTGGATTCTCGTGATTGACAACGCTGTGTGTTTAACGGCAACTGTCATCAGCTACATGGTAACGCGTACTGACTCACGTTGGAGACTGTATATGCACATGGTTTCAGGGTGATTATTTCATCCATTGATCCCTCCTAACCCCTGTGATGGGTGGATTAGTTTCTCTGTTTTGTCTATTGAGCGACGTCTTTGCCCGCGGAAGGGAACTGGGCGCGTTACCAGATGGTGGGCTGATGATATTGTTGTTGACGTTGTGAAATTAATATGTCTTAAACACAATGAGTATCAAAGTAGTATATCGAGTTAGTGTGCGAGTTTGGTTCTGCTATATGACTAGTTCAAGGATACTTCAGTTATGTCATTCATTGCCAGTTTAACATTGAACAAAAGTTTCAAAGACGAATGTTTCTTTCGTCATAAATCAGTGGCGCGGATATAACACGCGAGCTAACAGCGCTTCATGCATGACCTTAGAAGTAGGGCAGTCGCAGGTTACAATAAAACATATTTTAAGTAGGGTCTTTTAGGAAGTACCTTAATCAATCTCTTGAAATCGATCAAAATACTAGTTTCAACCTCCTGGCTAATCGAACAGAGTTAATTGGAAAAGTCTTGGGAATAAAATACGAAAATGTGTGTTGCAGCGGAAGGAAAGACAAATTGGCTTCACCGGGGCTTTGTGACACAGAAATAAAAAATTCATTTAAACTTCATGCAGGACCATAAACTATTCCAGCCATGAAATTAACAAAGTTAGGACTGACAAGCACTATAAACCTGTCCTAATGCGTGCAGTTTGTGGAACATGCAACAACGACACTGGGTTACGTCTTATAACCATGAAACAAAAGTCATTGTGTCTTCCGAGACAAAATGTACCTAACTAAAATTCTTCGAAAAGTAAAATGCGCTTCAGAATTTCAATCACAACTCTCACTTTATCCTATGTGATGTGTTGAGATTATCAACATTATTTATTTTCTGGATTGTCCTGAAACATGAGTAAAGTGCTGAACATCAGTAATTCCGTGATTTATACTTTAACCGGAAAACCCTTTCTGGGCAACCATGACCAAATACTTTCATCACAACGTTCTGGAAAATCCCAGCTAGTCGTTGAGGTGGCACATCATGTTTTACGGAAAAAATACATACAGCTCAAGAAAATATATCATTGGATTTCTCCCATAACTTTTTACGAAAGGCAGGAGCACCGTGAATGGCCCCTTGCCGTTGACACCCGGAGGTCGAGTTGACCAGACGACCAAAACATCATGTGACAATTTCGTTGACCGCCATTTGTTGTTTCTGAACAACACGAGTTTGACAACACTTCAGACGTCAAACTGGAGTTTGACAACACCGAATGTTTGATGCGAAGGTTGGTGAGAATAGAGACCGATCCTATTTCTCGACAACAGTTTGACAACTCTGAAATTGGTGTTGCTGGCGAGTTGTTTGAATGTTCACACTCTCAAACTCGAGTTTGACAACATGTGAACGCTGCTTTCAGTGTAAATATCCTCAGGATGGGACATCCTGCTGGGATCCTTTTTCAAATCAAAATGAATCATTTGTTTCTCTCAAATTCATATATATATATATGACCCAAACAATGTTTAAGTACGACTCAAAGAGACCAAACACTTTTGTGTTTTTTGAAGTGGTCATGGTCTGTACATATTAAAAATGTATGATGGACATCGCAGTTTGGTAGCTCAAACTCAGAGCGAGGCTAAATACAATTTGCCAGTGAAAATCACAACACTTTTCAAATAATCCCAAAACACCAGGTGTGTACTTTCTTTTGTATGTCAGTTGATATATTCAGAGACTAAGTGTTAGTATATGCGAGAAACTGACTGTTATGTGTAAAAACTGTAGGAACAATTCTACTTTCACCCAATTACGTCAAAACTGCATGACCAATTGTCAACGTTTCCGTTTGTCGAGCAAATATCTAGCACAATTGCGCACATGTGTTCACGTATTTGTCCAGATAATCATTCAGTTCAATTACTTCGTGTTTCACTTATGTGTTTATGATAGTGTCACCGGTGGGACGGAATACGATCACCTTTTCGCGAACTCCTGACACCATCACGATTTCATAATGATTACCAAACACGGTCACGACATGGTCTGCTTCGTACAATGGACTGAGCTTTACTTATGATTATACCCATGATTCTCTTGCTTCAACATGTATGGTAGATTTACTCACGGCATGGATAGCCTCAGCGGGACATTGATTTTGAGGTGCTCTAAGTGCTTTACGCTGTAGAAGGTTCAGATAGTCGTTTAAACGCATTGATAAACAATGGCAGCAACGGCAAACGTATTGATGTAACTTATGATTAAGACGTCTCAATATGTTTGAACAATCGATCTGTCAATCATATCACATCGATTTCATCACAGTTGTATGCACAGTGATTGGAAACAATCGATGGTTTTCGAAGCTGCAATACTACATACTTTCTTCAAATATTCACCGGGAACAAAGTTAAGCACCCCGGTAAATCTGAGCGAGTTGTATATTTCGGCTAACATAAGTTGTGTGCACGCACAGTATGTATGCCTGCTTTACTGTAAGATCATGTCTTGACTACAAGAACACACAAGAAGGACAGTTTCCTTCAATGTTGTAATAATGGATATGGCACAACACACATTATCCGTTTTGGTTTCTAAACTATACCTGTTACAAGTATGGAGCTAGAGAGGGATGAGACAAAAAACGTTTTTTTGTAACTTGGGAACGTTGTACAATCAATATCTAGTGTACCCACTACGTGCTTTGATAACTGCCAAACAGTTGTAGAGGAATCTGTCGCCATTCTTAGTTCAAAGATGCTTTTTGAACAGGTGGTACACTTGCTTGTATCCGTCGCTCGAGAAAGTCCCAAATGTGCCCCATTTGGTTCGGGAAGGTGAATCGCTGCATTATTCTGAATAAAAGCTTGTGAAAATTCGTGGACTTGCTTCTGGATATGCTCCACAGGGTATGCTTGGAAAACACTTTCCACCAAGTGCAATAATTTCTTAAATGAATATAATTTTCTTATGCATCATCATACACCAACTGAATTAGCGGTCAACATAGTTAGAGGTGCTTAACTTTTTCCAGGTGTAGATGTTCTTTCATTTTGTGCATAGATGTTGCAGTTGTATTATTTGCCTTGATTTAACTATGGTAACGATTTGAAAAACGTACGAGGTAGTGTACTCTTCAAAGACACTGAGGTTTGAGTTTGATATTCAATAACCAATATATCTAATAAAGTAAATAATCACAATTAACAACACTTCCATATGTATGCATAATTTGTATCAGGGGATTTCAACAAACTTATTCAACAGCATCCGGCATTGCAGTATAAAATATCATTTTCACATATTTCCATATTTACTCATGATAGTTTCGGATTCGTTCAAGTCATTCTGCAAGGAGCAGAGATTTTACTCGATTATGGATTATGACTTAGTCGCTTATGTTCCATAGATATTTGTAACACCTCTCCTTTTGACATATAAAAATACTGACCTCTAAACATGATGTCTAGATATAATATATATAAAGTATAATGTCTTTAGACTTTACAAATAAGTATAATTCACAGGACATATGTTTTTTAAAATAATCCGTCGTCGGTTTCGCCTTGTTTCAGAGAAATGGGTCAATTAAAAAATAACCTATGGGTAACCTTCATCTGCATGTTCGGCATGCAAGTGCTTGTATATATAATAACACTTTTGTATCTGAACATTCCAGTAGTGAGTGAGAATGGTTTTACGCCGCTATAAGCAATATTCCAGCAATATCACGGTGTGGGAAACCAGAAATGGGCTTCACACATTGTACCCATGTCGAACCCGGGTCTTCGGCGTGACGAGCGGATGCTTTAACCACTAGGCTACCCCACCACCCCGAACATTCCAGTAAACACAACACATATCACAAGGTCGAGTGTGTAGTACACATATGGCCGTTTTAGGAATCCAAGAAACAATGTCGCGTTGCTTTAAAAAAGTATTAAAAATAACCAAAGCGTAAAACGCAAAAATACGACAGCACGACACTTTTGCCATACGTTGCATTTACGCGGATAATAATTTGTTTATTTTACCAAAGGGTGACAATGTGGTAATGCGACCTATTTCAAGGTCATAATATGTCTGCTTGTGGCATCGTCGAGCTTTGGTTAATCATGACAACTTCTCCTTTTTAGTATGAGTGATCACAACCATACACAAAGCGACAAAACGAAAACGTCCGTGCTACGATTCCTGAAAAGTCTGTACAAGACCCTTATAACTTTGTATCAGGCAGAAAACCGCTAACGATGAGTGATGTCTTTGGTTGTATGCGGGGAAAGCGATTATGAATGGATTTGAGGGATTACCGTTCAATACAAAGAACCCATCACTGTAGAGGATTTTATGAGATAAAATGGAAAATGCATTATTATATTGTTTATCTAAACTTTTCATATTTCAGAATTGTCAACACTACAACGATGCAGGTTTTACTTTTGGTGATTTTAAGCAGCTGTTTGCTGCAGGGACCGATGAGCCGTGTACTTCTGTTGGCAAAGGCGGCAACAGCTCTCCCCATCAACACTACTGGTTAGTAGACACGTGAAACATTACATTGTCGTCCGTCTCCAGGTCTATGTAGAAACAACGAGTATTGAGTATAGAAGGTCCTCTACAAGGTCCGATCACGATAGTGTACTCCAGCCAGCACAGAGCTGCCCATACCTATAGGTCTACCAATGATGCCTTGGTCGGGGCTTTGAGTGGAAGTAACAAAATGCGAACTGTTCCTCAGATACACAGATATAGTATTCCTGGAACTCGTATTCATGGTCCACGGTCTTGCATAGGGTTCGTGGCAGTACACGTTTTAGATAAAAGCAAAATGAAGTATAGCTTCACTGTGTCAGTTGGACATAAAACAGGTATACATTTATTGTATAGTCAAGTGGACGTGGAGCAGGTATTTTATTGTGTCAGCAATCAGTAAAACGGATATATAGTGATTACATTGTCATTGTGTCATTGAGACCTACATGGGTATGTGATTGTTTCATTCAGTCAGAGATACGACAGATGGGTATATAGTGGCTTCACTCTGTCAGTAATTGATAGAACGGGATTGAAGAGGTTTTACTGTGTCAATAATGAGGAAAATTATGTAAACTGTAAGAGGTTAATTTCTGTCATTTAAATTGATTGACATAGATACATAATTATTACCTTGTGTTAGTTGGAAGTGAAATTGGTATGTAGAAACAATGTTTACGCTGTGTAAGTTACGGGGCATATCGAAATAATTTCTACATCGTTGGTCAGTGTATATGAAAAGGGACTTTGCGAGTGGGAGTGTGTGATTTAAAGTAGGCACACACAAGAACTGCAATGATATATTCACTGTTTCATATCTGACAAAATAAAACGCTTTGCATTTTCGAAACAAACTTGAAACTAACACTACGCTTCAGTAATGATGCTTTGAAGAAGGTATTATATGAAGCTGATGAGAACTAATACATTCTTAACTGATAATAGTAAAGGGTGAAAACACGTTCAATGTAAGTGGAGAGTTCAGCAAATATATATATCTACAGATTCATGATCACCATATAGACAATAAACTTTGTTTGACTTCCGATTTAATTAACATCTTTGCTCAGTGTGTATCAGTCGAATAAGTCAAATGTTAAATGCGTCAGAGTCATTTTTCCATCAATTGACAATTATATTCTTGCCTATAACATTCAGCTGAACCAGAAACCACTTCTGAACTGGACATTACTGCTGAGCCAGAGACAAGCACAGAACCGGAAACCACAGCAGAACCCGAGACAAGCTCAGAACCGGAAACCACAGCAGAACCCGAGACAAGCTCAGAACCGGAAACTACAGCAGAACCCGAGACAAGCTCAGAACCGGAAACCACAGCAGAACCGGAGACAAGCTCAGAGCCAGAAACCACAGCAGAACCCGAGACAAGCTCAGAACCGGAAACCACAGCAGAACCCGAGACAAGCTCAGAACCGGGAACAGCCACAGCAGAACCCGAGACAAGCTCAGAACCGGAGCTACACAGCAGAACCCGAGACAAGCTCAGAACCCGAGACACAGCAGAACCCGAGACAAGCTCAGAGCCAGAAACCACAGCAGAACAGCGAAACAAGCTCAGAACCGGAAACCACAGCAGAACCCGAGACAAGCTCAGAGCCAGAAACCACAGCAGAACCCGAGACAAGCTCAGAACCGGAAACCACAGCAGAACCCGAGACAAGCTCAGAACCGGAAACCACAGCAGAACCCGAGACAAGCTCAGAACCGGAAACCACAGCAGAACCGGAGACAAGTTCAGAACCGGAAACCACAGCAGAACCCGAGACAAGCTCAGAACCGGAAACCACAGCAGAACCGGAAACAAGCTCAGAGCCAGAAACCACAGCAGAACCCGAGACAAGCTCAGAACCGGAAACCACAGCAGAACCCGAGACAAGCTCAGAACCGGAAACCACAGCAGAACCCGAGACAAGCTCAGAACCGGAAACCACAGCAGAACCCGAGACAAGCTCAGAACCGGAAACCACAGCAGAACCCGAGACAAGCTCAGAACCGGAAACCACAGCAGAACCAGTGAGTGAAAAAGGAGCTGTTCCTGAAACAAGGCCATCAGTGGTAGAAATAGTCGTTCCTCCATTTGCTCTCATGGCAGTTATTGTATTAGGTAAGTGAAACAATATGAAATACATAACTTAGAAATGCGTATAGTGCATGTATTTAGCTTCGTAACATTTGCTTCCTCTGAAAATCTCTAATAATTAAGAGAAAAGCATCGATTTGACACGTTTCTAGTATTGTGCTGCTGAGGCTGTTGGAATGGTAGATGCACGTTCTGAAACATACAGAACGGATTAGTGTTCAAAGGAATCAATAGCACTGAAATGTTTTCTTTGTGGAATTTTATTATTGCAGGGTAAACCGTAGATTTAGGAAAGACAGTTTATCTTTACTTTATGCGATGTTCAGAGGGTAACACACAAGGGAATAGTCTATCTCCCGTGCTCCTCAGATGCCACTCACATTAACCCAGATAACTCATAAGATAATTTCTATCACAGAATCTATAATTAGCTCAAAACAGAGATACAGAAAGTATGCAACTCAAGGACAGACTACCTTATAAGGATATGGGACTTAGTTTGTTTTTGGTCTTGGTTGTTTGATTAGGTTGATAGTCTTTAATGATTAACTCCATTTTAAGAATGAGCATTTTTATCCATCATGACTTGTCCTAATCTTCCTGCAGGTCTTGTGTTCCTGGTGTTAAAGGCGCGTTTCACAACTGTTCCTTCAGCTCTATTGAGCATGGGTAAAAGTGCAATGAGAGCAATGTGGCTTCAAACGGCCAAAGTATCCTGTGAACTGAAACCCAAAATCATCAGTACGGAGAATAATAACAAGGAAAAGCTTGTGAAGGATGCTGATGACGAATTTCTTACTCCTTTTGACATAGAGGTCATTGACAGCCTCAGAACATCCCACAACCGACCTCAGGAACTGATTCGAATCGCACTTCCGGCAGTGCTCTCCCTTGCTCTTTGTCCTCTTACCTTGTACCTCTATGAACCGTTCACCTTATTCCTGTGGCCCAAAGACCAATACGCAACTCCTCCCGATATCAACGACGCCATTGCCTGTTTCCTAGCTCCAGCTGGACTCGTGTACGCAACATCGTTTGGCTTTGCCTTCCAGTCAGCACTCAACAAGCAGCACGAGATCCTCACCAAGATGACTGGGGAGATGAGCATGATAGATCACATAGCTACATTTACTACCAAGATTCGACTGCCCAACAAGAAGCTGAGGCTTGACATTTACCGTGCTATAAAAGCTGAGGCTATATTCATGATATTGCAGCTTCTGGACAGAGATGAATCTTCCTATGTCAACAGACCAAAAGAAGATGTGAAAGGTAGGAAGTCAAAGATTTCGAAGGTTCATAGAAACACTTGTTGCCCCAGGTCACGTGTTGGTATTAGTAAATGATTGATTGTGATCCAGTACATGTATTTGTGTAAAGATCTGGAGTAGAATTAGTCTTCGGCAGCAATTGCGTGTCGTAAGAGACGATAAATTCTTGTCAAACGCGATCGTTAGTTAACGCATGTGATCGTATCTCCACGGTGTAGATCGCCCATGATTGTCAATCACTAGTCCAAACTCGTATATTGATTGATCTCTATCAAATACCTGGGATCTTGTTGAACCATGGGTCAAATAAACAAATAAACAAACTTGTCTTTGTGAGCAGGCATCCATCAGTCATAAAATTTCCCCGTACCAATTTGTCACTTTAGCTTCATTTCCCCCCAAATAAATATATCTTTTAGTTTAGCATGCCTGAGTCACATGGTCGGTCGTTGAGACAAACGATTCTTTCTCAAACGACGAATGAACTATAATCAGCCATTACAAGTTTCCATTTCTATTTGTCTGATGGCTCACAGTATTTATTGTAAGTGAAGAGAAACAGGTATACTGCAGTGTAGTGTAAGGTAAGGTAAGAAACAACATTCTTCCATATACATTGTGGGATTTGCCGATGCTCCCGGTAGTGAAGAACATGCTAATCAAGGTGTCGAGCACCTGGTGTTACCACAGATGTTTGTCACAGTCATCCATCCATATAATTGTTTTGACTACCGAGTAAGAACATGTACCGAAACCTCTGTTGGTATATATATTATGCAAACGGAGATATAACGACCCTCCTCGCTTCTGCTGGACACGATGTACATCAACAGGTCTGAGACCTTTCTGGACATAAAAGTCATATACATGACTGTAACAGTTGGTGATGGGTTCTGTGTTGTGGATGTTGTAGGATGGGATGTTATGAATGCTGTAAAATGTACTGTGATATAGAAATCCATATCAATGACTGCCATTAAAGTGCAAACTTGTGTTTTCATAACGATACGATTTCATGCGACCATAGCTAACTGCACCATACATGCAGTAATCAAGGAACATCAGTAGTCAATAAGAAACGTCAATAATGCATGACAGATAGCCAATCACAGGCTGAACACTAACATTACGCCAGACGTTACAGGTATGATACCCGGTTATCGTGTTAAACTATACTCTCCCAAAAAAGAAACGCATCATGAAAATAGCAATTTCATGTAGCAATGAATTTAAACGTGATTCATTTTACAAAAGGTGTTGCTCTGTTTATGAGTCCTATGGTGTTTATGTTTTGAAACATCACAACAAAACGCACCATCCGTAAATTACCCGTATTTAACAGCATGATTTTCACCATCACACGTCTCCATGTGACACTCAAACTGACTTTCCTCGAGTTGGTGCCAAAGACGGATAAGCCTGCATTCCCAGTGTGCAATTTCGCTATATTTCATTGATTCACAAAGCCTACAAGATGTTTCAAAATAAACATAAAAATACAGTTGAAATTCCTATATGCGTTTCTTTTTTGGGAGAGTATATTTAAGATATATCACCCCATTGCTGATTACAGCAGCGCATAATGTTAAGTTTGGATTGCAAAACATCAGAACCTTGCAAATGCGTAATTTATCACCAATGAGAACAAGGACAGCTATCAAGTTAAATCGATGGAATATGTACCGAACAAAATAGTTCGAGATCTTCAATTTTTAGAATGAAAAGATTACCCTTTATCATAAACTTGTCCACAAACATATTCATGATTTGTATTATATTTTCTGTTCAGTATACAAACACGAAATCAGACATGTACTACTATACGATGAACTTTTTTCTTGACACGGAAGTAAAACATCAATCAAAAAAGTTTCGCATTGTCAGCACATGTATTTCACAGAAATCACAGATACGTATTATGTGAAATAAACACAGCTTGTTTTGGTACTGCAAGGTCGTGAAAATACAACAAGAAAACAATCAATATAGTCATTAAAACATGGTTGAACAGGAAAACGTGTACTGAGGTACTATTTTACAATGTTGGCGTAACTGTCAACAACCGTGAACGTGTCTAAGATTGGCTCCAACAAGACAATACAGTCGTGCACATTAACCTTGACCATAAACATGTTTATTTCTTGAACTATTAACCCCCTGAAACATGGACATAGCCTATTGATCTGTGATATCTGGCTTCCGTTGTCACCTCCTGATAATAAATCTTTCTTCTTTCACTAAAGTCAGACACCTGTATAATGTACAATGTGGGAGACCCGCGTCAACATCGTGCCACAGTTAGGTTCCACAAATGTTCAGAGATCGATATCAAATCATTGCACCCCCATGCACACCGATCCTGATTGATATGTCATCGATAGGTGCGTTCCAGGTACATTCAATCCCGAATTCTTGTTGATTGATAAGATGCATTAAGGCTATCTAACACCTGAATTGATATTACATTAATAGCTATAGCTGATCATATCAATAAGTGTGACACTCTATCCCCATGTGTACAATTTTGGTGGTCGATACAGAACCTCGGCGAAAACATCTCGCCGTGTGTCGTAGGGTCATTAAATCTGTACTGTTGGTGCTGTACTGTATATTTAAAGTTTAACGCTTTGGCAAGAAACGCTGAGCCCTGTGTGTGAGGCAAAGTGTTTAACGTTCAAGGTTATGCCGTTGCATGGATCAAGTTATTACATTGCGGTACTTCGAAGGCATTGGGTAGAAAAAAATCGTTTTCTTTATGCTGTTTTGCGGGAATATTGTTGAAACATTGATGGCGCGACGACAAAGTTTAATTTACCTGCTAGGTTACATCTATAATTATTGATCAGTAGTTGTTAATGTCAACTCAAGCGGTGGTAAAGACACTACTGAGCGTTAGGGCCCTTAACTCACTCAGCACAAGACGCTTTGAAAAGTTGAACCTTTTATCTATAATGTACAAAATGGAAAAAAATAAATACATTGTAAATATCAAGCTGGAACCTTGATGGGCCTACACTCTTGCAGACCTCGTTGTTTTTGTAAAAAAAAAAGGAAAAAAGAATCTCATGAATTAGTAGTACTGACGAGAAGGTGAAATACATAGCGAAATGAACATACTGTCTATATGTTCAGTACAGGACAGATGATAACCTATTCGCTCCTTTTTGTTTCAGTCAAAATTTGGACTGTAGTGGACATTCTGCGTCAGGTGGACACGGACAGTAAGCATCACGTGGACAGAGTGCTACTCGAGAAAATCATCAGTAACATCGTCTTTCTCAACAGCGTTTGTTCCGACCGGATGGGTATTCTCCACGCACGGATACATCCGCTTAAGTAAGTACTTCTGTGATAGAAAAAGTCCATCGTTGTTCTGATCGATACAGCTGCTCAAACATAGATATGAATGAGTACGATATTACGTCACTGTAGCATCATCTTGACGAATGAATGGGCCACACACATTACGCCTGTGGTGTCGGTGGACAGGGGCTTTACCTACTAGTCTACTTCCCTGTCCCCACTCCTCCCTCCTCTCTACCCCATCATCATCCACACCTTACCCAATGACACAACACAGCAAAGTATATTCATACATCACGTTTACATGTATACTAGTATATGATTCATCCGTGAACATTCGGGTTACAATTGATCTTCAGGCGACTAACGGGATCGGGTGGTCAAACTCGCTGACCTGGTTGAACATGTCAGCGTATCCCAATTGCGTAGATCGATGCTCATCGATGTTGATCACTGATTTGCCTGGTCCAGACTCGATTATTTACAGACCGCTGCCATACAGCTGGAATATTGCTGAGTGCGGCGTTAAACAACAACCCAATCAATCAATCATTATTATATGATTCATATTAAAACGCCCTTATATACGAACTCCTTTGCAATAAACAGTGTTATTTTGAGTTGATGCCTAGCCCATCCAAATGAAAGTGACAATCCGGTATCTAACAGTATGTTACCATTAAACATGATATTCTTCTACATCCATGGGCTGTCTGTTTCATGAATAAGAAATTGTATTGTTAATGAGAATTACTATTGTAAGTATATACACTTCATGTTTCTCTTTCATAACATGTGAGTATGTGGTAGTTTGGGGGCAGGTTAGAAGAAATGTGGTTCTTTTGCCATCCATCTCGATTCATTGCAGGTGTTTCGGGTCAGTCAAACGATCAATTTGACATGCGTTTAAACTAGTTTGTACAAGTTTAAAAACATGAATTGACATTTTGCTGCCAATCTAGTGACAACCTCTTAGGCTGATAGAAAACGTAAATGACCCCTTTGACAAGTTTAGTTTGATAGATGTTTCGCCACACCTTAATTAACCGTTTTACGTATAATGTGTCATTACTTTATCAAGCCACTCCTATCACATATAGGGCAGATTTGCCCCATAAACATTGTTTCATGTATTTATGTTCCCTCATTGCTGTCTCTGGATAACATGACCTTCTGCCTTCAGGTGGGCGTTTCTGGAGACACTGGGCTTCTTCTCCTTCATAGGGATCCTTCTCCTCCACGCATACTCTTACCGCATGGAGCTTGTCATGTGCATCATCACCGTCTTCTCCATCAGCATGCTGTGCTACGTCGTGTCGGACCTCGACTCGCCTTTCAGTGGCTTCTTCAGAGTGGACCTCTCCGTGTTGGAGGTGGTCATCGAGAGGCTGGCCGCCATGTACGAGCTGGCGAAGATGGGACACAGCAACCTGGTTTTCTACCCGGACAAGCACCCAGCTGGTGCCCACAAAGCAGCTGAGCACACGAAGAAGAAACCAGACAAGGAGAGAGTGCAAGCATGGTAACAACAGTATGACAGAAACCACACTTGTCCATTGTTTTCGAGAGATGGTAACAGAATGATTGTGTTGATACCCAATACGATCGCTGTGATGACGAAACACTGACGTTCACGTATAATTCAATATGTGATGACGAAACGACTGGCGTTGATTGCCTTGGCAATATATGTGTTGTGTTATAGATACAGACTTGCATGAGATGCCCTAGTAATGGGTATCAAGTAGGCTTAATGCACTGCCACGGTACATCTCGAGTTTCTACATCAATTATAAAATACTGTACATTCTCTTCAAAGGTTTCGCGTGTCCATTTATCCTCTCTGTCTGTGTCATAGGAGAAACAATCGTACAGTGACATTTTAACAATGGGGTTGTGTTGTGTTGTGTATATATGTGACGGGCGTTCTCAAGTTTAACGTCATTTATACATTGTGTGTTCATATTTCTTAGAGTGCTTCTACTTTCAAAACTGAAATGCAAATATGCAAGAAGCTAGCATGGAGGAATTGCTCCGGCACTCGCTTTCCGTATCAACATAAATGGTAAACACCAACATTAGTCGTGTTGATAAGGGCAACGGGGTACAAGCCACTCACGCGATAGGTTGTGTATGTGTGCGCGCGTGTGTGAGTGTGTATGTGTGTTTGTGTGTTCATATGAAGGTGTAACGAACAGTTTCAACGTGCTGGTTTTCACTGGGAACTTTGTTTGAACTTTCATTTAAAGCCACTTCTGATCACATTGACTGTCTTTCACTTGTATAGAATAATGCCGTCCCAATAAATGCACTTATTAATAAATGCACCATTTTGCTGCCTTTGTGAATTTGTTATTACGTACTGTCACTTTACATGAATACAGCATATTGGGGTAGCGTGGTGATAAAGCGTTCGAAGCTCAATATAGTTACAATGTGTGAAGCACATTTCTTGTGTCCCCCGCCATGGTGTTACTAGAATACTAGTATTGCTAAAACAGCATAGAGCCAAACGCACTCACTCACTTACACACTCAGTTGAAGATACCCTTTTCAACACTCTTTTGGGGAAGGACGGAAAGCATGAGTCGCATTTGCTCTGGCAGATTATATCTGAATTTTGATGATATATTGGTAGGACGTGTTATTTGCGTGTTTGTGAGGGAAAATTGACTCTCACCGTCACTCTACTCATGATGTTGATCACGGGATTGTCTGGTCAGGACTCGAGTATTTACAGACCGCCGCCTTATAGCTGGAATATTGCTGAGTGCGGCGTTCAACAACAAACCAACCAAACAAACATGTCTTATCATATCATCAGTTCTGGATTTAAGTTCCTTATGCTTGAAAGAATCATTCAGAATGGACGTGGGCCACGGCTTCTCGAATAATGGATTCAGTAAGATAGGGAATTCGGTTAAATGTAATTATTCTTGCATCTCGAGTCATACCGACAAAACAGCAAACTGATAGGATAATATTCCTGCTGCCAGCTGATGTCACAGTGAGCGAGATAAAGGTCCTTCACAGGACTGGGTATCAGTCGAGGGTACTTGTCGCTTTAAGCTGAAGACAAGCTGTGTCGTCACAGACGGCGGACAAATCAAACTTGGAAGTAAGAGTTAAGAAAATGCCTCTTACCCTGTTTACGTGTACTTAGGCCATCTGGCGTGTGTTTGTGTTGTCAGACATTAAAAGCATTTATCCTCCAACCAGCAGCTTACCTAAGGCTGACCAGTTCATTTTGGGGAAGAAATAACCAAGATATACTTGTTGTTAAGGCCCGCCTTAAGCGGACGAATTTATTAACATTAATCTTTCAACAAATTTGTTAAACACCGCACTCAAGCGGGAATTATTACACATGTTGCGTTTGTTGTCAGACATCAAAAGCATTTATAATAGATCAACAGAAAATTGATAATTTCCTCACGGTAAGTTTATCTCTACATTCAAACAGTTTCACCTGTTTAAATATTGAAGGATTTCTTGTATAATACGAACATACATATTTTGAGCGATAGGTAACAAACTTTTCACAAGTTATGATATAATGGTATTCGTTGGCAGAGTCATTGCCTGTACAGAATGTACATGGCCTTTCAAGTTTGCAAATTTGAAGCCTGTGAGAAGATAATCCAACATGTAACAGTGTCATTCATTTTGGGAAAACATTATGTCAAGCAATACTCTATACTGAATAGAAGATATTTGTGACGATTTCCCAGTGATTAGTGAGAATTTTACACATTACAGTGATGTTAAGTGGTTTAAGTCTCATTCCTGCCTACAGCGTATAACGTGGAGTACTCCTTGAGATAGGGAACAATTTTCTCATATGAAATCCACTTGGATATTTTCCATTATTTTGCAGTTTAGTTTTCAAAACCCCACTTTTCTGAACTGTTAGTTTCGATGGGAATTATCATTGCATCAAGTGATTTTGATTGGCAGATTATCCAAAGGTTATGTAATCTAGCAATATGAAATGCACTCCCTTTCTCACACATAACTTCTGGGTGGAATAGATTGTACATGATCTTTTGAAAGTTACCCAAGATACTTATATTCATTTACTAAACAATATATTATCAATAGCACACATAGTGGAATAATCTCTCCTTGTTCCGCCAAATATGATAATTTTGCATTTGTCAATTTTATCTTTAGCTTCCATTTATCACAAGACAAAGAGGCCTCATCCCAGCAGGTGCTCATTCACTGCTGGGTGAACAGAGACAATTTCGAACAAAGTCACTTGCCTAAGGTGAGACCACGTGTGTTACATGTGCTTCGTTGTGGGGCAGGACTGAAGTCCTACAAACTCTCATGGGTCAAGCTGCCAAACACGGCCACCCACACAAGGACTCTCCACGACCAACGATGTATACATGTATATAACTATATACGTCGTTGGTCGCATTAAACTACATAAAACTGGGGAAACTGAAAGTTCTACTCCTCTCAGACTATGGAAATGTTGCAGCAGCAATCCTGGTCAGAAATCCTGTCTAATCTAATAGTTCACTACAATATCTTCCAGCCCACTTTGACTCGTCCCTAGCCATGGAAGACTACATTTTTGCAAAACTTCCATTTCAGGCATACTAGTTCTATTCGTCATCGTCACTAGAACCGACACCGCAACTCTCTTGTGACCACTTATTGTTTCGCATCAGGTTGAATGCAAGCGCCTCTTCTATGGTATTTCTAAGGATCAGCTACAAAGATTACAGATGCAAGGCAAGTTACTAAGACAAAGTCTAGAAAACACGTACAACCTGAACTCAGATCTCTTCACTGGGTACAAGTCCACAAACGGATACAATTTAAAATCATTTGTCTTGCCTACCAATCAGTCCGCACCCCTCTAGTCTTTAACCTCTTCAGGGTATCAACCTGCCAGAAACATTCGTTCGGCTTAGAACATGAACCTTGCGGTGTGGAGCTCAGCGCCATATAAATGGCCTAATTATCGTCTTTGTAAATTGAAAGAAGAATCGCTACCATTGATTAAAAACCCTATTGTGAAATAACCACAGAAGATAGATCTCCACGACGGCGGTAAACACACTCTTTTGTCAGCTCCCAACAGACAGAAGCGGCTTTCATTCGAGAATAACACCCTCTGCCACTCACGTCGCTGCCGACGTCGAACCGTCCGGGCCCATCAAAGACTCCGTCGACGATGTTCGGCTGTCAACTGCTGTTCCCGGAAAGGTCTGTAAGCCCGGATTCTATAGGTCCACAGTCGTCTGGCTACTGTGCATCGGCTTACACGGTGACCCAAGCCACGCGCCGCTGATAACATCAACGTCAGGAGGCGGTTTCTGAGATGCAGATACTGATCCTCCTGGGGCGTTGTGACTCGAAGTCTGCCTGATCGTGGCCTGTCTGAGGCCAGTCCTGTCTGACGGTATCGCTGCATGAGTCTGGTGACGGTGACGCGGTGACAGCCAAGCATCGTGGGTGTGGGAGGCTGCCATTTCCATCATTCCGATCTCCCGTTCTGGTGGGTTTTTTAATAGAATGAATGTCTGAAAACCATTGGTTTGGTTTTATACCCGTTTGGCATTTAATTATTTCGCTTTGCGTGAAAAACATGCAAACAATATTTTAACAAAATGGTGAAAAAGCATGCATTGCATGCCATATTTCCAAGTGGAAAACTCTTGCGTTTGGGCGATGTGTTTTCATGTGATGGTGATTGCAGTTGAATTTGGAATTTTTGGTAATTTCAATTTCAAAGTGGTAACGTTTCTTTAGCCGGTCAGTTCATATGAACGACTTGCATGTGTAAATTCATTTTTTTGTCCATAGTTTTCCAATTGTTGAATAACGCCCTTGCCTTGGAATATTTCTCACTGGCTATCACTCATTCACGTCCAAACCAAGGTTTACGTTACTTGTAAGGCTTGTCATTAAAACTCTGTGTACATTCTCCAAGAGCTACATAAGCAGCTGAGCTAAACATTTCTCTAATAGTACACACAACATACTTCAGTTGATTTTCCCAGTACCATTGGTTGAATGTGGGCTTCAAACTGGTCAACATGTACCTTGTTCTACTTTTGTTTATCTCATTATCTTGGGTGTCATATGTGTTGGTGGCAGGTCATATTGTATTACAGGAGAGTTCAATGCTAAGTGTCAAGGCAGAGTGTATATCTTTGAATATATGATTAAACCAACACAAACCATTCGTACTTCTTCATGGTATATTATAACTTGATCTACAGAGAAGAAGGCAAAGATCGGTATGTACCGTGTTATAACAATGACATAGGACTAAATGTAGAACTACAATTCCTTGTTCGGATGAGAAAGGAAACACTGTTCGTCTCGGTATCAGGATCTCAATATACCAGGTATAAAAGGACATTGTACAACAGGGAAGTAGTTGCTTGGAACGGCTGCCCACGTGAATATTAGTCCGTTTCGAAATATGAGTACATACACTGATCTAAAAATTAACCTCCTCTAAGTGATAGAAATGTTTATTTAAATACATTCACATCTTGAAAATATTTGTCAAATAAAGACATGTAGGTTGTAGAAGCCAACTCTGTAGTTGTAATGCGCTGTAATGCGAGGTTACCTGAACTGCACAAACCGTCCTGAATTGAAAACACGTTTTTGTGCTCCAGTCATATTTACTCCGTTTATTGATTGATGAATCTGTAGTTTCTGCACATACAATCGATCTGATTTTCTTTGAAAATCTTCCAGTAGCTGTTTGGCCTTCACACACGCTTACATCATTTATAACAGATAATGAACGGCATTCGTGTTGACCAAAGTGTTACCAAACGTTGTCATTAAACACAAATAACACATCATTCGTCTGCATTCTTTATGTTGATCATCAAAGTAATGTTACTTTAAAACTTCTTTGGCCTCTTTATAACACTTTGTGTTTGAGTTTAGTGCAATAAAAACGTTATAACCTTTTATATTTAACTTTCTACACACTTTAACGCGTCGCTATGACGTTGATAAGTAACTTAACCCATCAGTGAAATTTTCAATGGTAAAATAGATAGAGCCATCGATAGACATTTGACGTATTTGTTTCGACTGCATAGAAAGCTAAGTCGTGTAATCGAATAGTCAACATGATTTAAGTTAACCCCTAATAAGAGAGTCGTTCTGCACAATGTATGCAATTATAATCAAACACCCTGCGTGACTGAGCAATATGCGCAGTGCTCAATATGTGCTATAGC